CTACTTCTTTTTTCATCAAGAACAATGTTTTTCTCTCACAAATTCCTCCAACATTCCTCCAAACCATCCAAATTCCTCCATAATTCCTCCAAGCGAACAGGCCCTTTGCTAGAATTGGAATAGTTGAGAACAAAGTGGCCAAAGGATGTGCAACGCATGGGAATTTGCCGAACAGCTGGGGCCAAATCTCGAAATCAAAAGCGTTTGTTTGATGAGCATGCATAGTACTCTCTCTGTCCATAGAAGAATGTAACTCTCACTTTCTGAAAAGTCAAATAATTTGAACTTTGACTAAATATATATAAAAGAACATTCATAATACAAAATAAGTATTATTAGATTAGTTATAGAGTATATTTTCATAATAAATTTATTTGGAGGTATAAATGCTAATATCATTTTCAATAGACTTTGTCAAACTTGAGCTAATTTGGCCGGTACAAATCTTATAATTTCATTTATTTTGTGGATGGAGGGAGTATTAGGTAGTTGATCATGTAAAGTTTGACAGAATAACTAGTGCACAGACGTCCGGCCCCAGACCCGCGTTCGGACGCAGCTCCACTGCACCCTGTCCTGTCCCCCAAGTAATAGAGCGTCCATCATGCCTGCGTAACAGGGGAGCCCGCCCACTCGCCACGCCAGCAAGGGGTCTCAACCTTTGTCGCGCTCACAACACCTTCATAGCCAGGGTCTGCATCTCCGTTGCGCGAGGAGATGCCACGAGCTTCTGCTCTAGGACCTCCGACGGGGCTAGCGGAGACAGCATGTCGTACAAGAACGAGCCGCGTGCGCCAGTGCAGACGTCGGGGGAGCGTTGCCCCTAGCTTACAGCCGACGCCGCCATGGCCCCCGCACTAGATCTCTCCTCCTCGCTAAACAACCTAACATTGAGATCTACTTTTGCAACACTGAGATGAAACAATTGCAACATACGAGTGAAACAGATGAAATATTTGGAACATACACTTACAACATGGTCATTGTAACATGCAACATCTAGACAGAACACTTGCAACGTACGTCTGAAACATATGGAACATGTTGTTGCAACATATGTGTGAAACATATGCAAACATCCAGATCAAAACGCTTGCAACATACGTCTGAAACAGATAAAACATATGAAACATGTTGTTGCAACATATGTGTGAAACATATGCAAACATCCAGATCAAAACGCTTGCAACATACGTCTGGAACAGATGAAATATTTTAAACTTGCAACATGTCTTTGAAACACTTGCAATATATGCAACATGTGCAACATCCCTGATCTACTTTTGCAACATCCATAAGAAACAACTGCAACATACCTTTGAAATGACTGAAATACCTGAAACATATATTTGCAACATAGGGAAAGGGAAGCCTGGGCCGGTCGATTTTAGCCGTCGGGGTCGGAGTCAGCAGCGAGTGGCGGTGCACGACCACCACCGCACCCAGCACCAGCGGCGCGTGCGAGCACCACCACCAGCCAGCGCCAGCCTTGGCTCAGCCTGGCGGGCGGTGCGTGCTATGAGAGGGAGCGAGCGGCGCGGTGCTTGGCCAAAGCAAGGAGCGAGGTGCGGGTGGGGCACGTGACAAACGGAGGTGAGGAGCGAGGAGCGAGCAGCGCAGGTGGGGCGCGCGACGATGCGGGATCGAGCGAGCGGCATAGGGTCAAGACGCAGTGGGAGAAGGTCAAGCGGAGTGAGCGAGCGGTGCCCGGATGAGAATAAGAGACAGAGGAGTCAAAGTCATGGTGCACGTCACGCCACGCGTCCGTCCAGAGGGAGGCGTTGGCATCGAACGTCCTATTTGTAGCATTATCAAAAGTTTGACCAAGCCATGCTTCTTATTGTTTGACTTATGTAGCCTCCTGCCATTAGTGGCAAGTGCTTTACTCGGATCCTTGCACATGGAGAGCTAATTTTTCAACAAAAAGTAAGTAGGACATGGCATTTGGAATGAAAACTACTTATTTGGACATCTATACAACTATAAACGCCCATTTAACATGTTTAGTAGTACATAAAAATAAACAGTACTTCCTTGTCTTAAAATATAGCTAACTCGCGCGTTGCCTAAATTAATCCTTTCTAATTTTGACCAGGTTTTATAAATGGGAAAAGTCCAAAGTAGCTCCTTCATGTTTAATTTGACCTATGTCCAGATAAACCCTAGAACAATGTTTGGTTCAATTTTCTATCCTGAGTATTTTTATGGTCTAATTTACACCTTAAACCATTTTGTCTTTTTTATTCTCCACATACAAGTTGTGTTTTAAATTGAAATTATGTGAGATAATAAAAAGCATCATGTTTTCTGTTAGAAAACTATGTACATTATAATTTTTTGTCATTATATTTTGTTCAATTTTGTATCTATAATGCAATTCATTTTTAAATTACCTAACCTATCAAAATAACGAGGAAAATTTTAAGATATATTTTCTAACATAAAGTATAATATCCTTTTTTTTTAATCATATAATATCCTATTTTTAACATAAAGTATAATATCCTATGTCACCTCACATTAGTTTATATGTGGAGAAAAAAGTATTCATTCTTAAAGGGTAAACTAAACCATCTGAAATCGTGGGGGATTAAATTGAACTAAACATTAGTTTAGGGGTTATCTAGACATATGTCAAACTTGGATGTAGTAATTTGGACTTTTTCGTAATAAAAATACTTCCTCCATTTTAGATTATAAGACGTCTTGAATTTTTCTAGATATGTAGCTTTTGCTATGCACATAGATATACGCTATGTCGAGATACTTAATAAACGTAATTTATCTTAAAAAGTCAAAACATCTTATAATTTGAAAATGAGAGAGTACATTGGTGTGTACAAGCTCAAATAATCACACCATTGAAACATGAACCGTGGTGAATTTTATTAGATTTTGTAAATTTTGACCTGTTTTTTGTAGACTTGGTCAAATCTTTTTGAATTGTATTGCACATACGTAGATGACCACACAAACACTTGCATACACTTCTTCTACAAACACATACACGAAAATCTAACCAAGTTTGACTTGAAATAAAGTCAAAATAAACTGTAATTTGAATGGATAGAATACTATAGTTCAATATTATGGTGAAAAATAGACTATGTGGATGGATTTTCGTCGTCGAAAGCAACATATGCATTTCTGTTAAATTTTTTTTTTGCTTCTATGTATCGTACGTACGGTACGGTGGGGCGGCAGTGGAGAGTGGAACCGAAGGGTTGACGCGGGTGAGCCGGAGAGTACGCCAAGTGAGCTGGAGCCTCTCTCCACAGCGCAGCGCAGCCCACATTGAATGGCCTCTGAGCAACACCGCGTGAGGTGGGCACCCACCCCACCCGACCCTCGATCGCAGCGCAGCGCAGGAGAGCTCAACCTAGCTGCCAGGGCTAGGCGGCCAGCCAGCCGGCCCGGCCCGCCCGGCCAGCATTTACTGCGTTCATGCCTCCCTCGCATCGCCCAACGGCGCCACCACCACGCCACCGCCGCCGGCCGGCAAGCCCGGCCCCGCGCCCACCACCGCCGGACCGGACCTGGCCACGGGATTCGAGCGATCTGGCAGTACGGATCGCCGCCGCGGCCTCCGTCCAGATCTCCATCCGTCTCCCTCCCCGACGGCGTTCGTACGGTACGGTACGGGCTATGCGCCTATGACGCCTAGGCTAGGTTCGGTAGCATTCCCTGGTTTTTTTTTCTCTTCATCAAATCAGTTAATAGTACTTTTAGTTAATATTTTTCACTCACACCAAATCCGTCAATAGTACTTTTAATCAAAACTTATAAGCTAAACACGATCAAACAAACAGGGCTGAAGAGAGATGGGTCGGGGCAAATGGGCAATGGCCACTTCGACTCCAAATAAAAACGTGTACGTGCGATTTCAAACTGACAACGTGTAACAAAGCAACTTTAACCATAATTTTTTGTTTCAAATGTTTTTTTTTCTGAAAGCACGTGAAATTTGCGAAACAGATTTTGTCGGTACAGATTTACTCGTGTGATCGTCAAAAGGTCCTGATATCGTACTCCTATATATATACGAGACGAGCCATATATATAGATCGACCTGAAACGTGCCAACCACTGTGTACCACCTAGCTAGCTAGCTGCAATGGTAAACGTCAAATAATACTGTAGTACTTACCACAGGAACAAGCCAAAAAGTTCGTCTGATTACGAGGTTCCCCAAACTTTCGTGGATGGCGTTGACTCAGTTTGAAACACAAGCTGCGCTTTGAAACGTTCGTTCCATGCGTCTGTGCGGAGACGTGCATGGACTTCAACCGAATCACTTTAATAAGCGGCGTGATCATGATCCATCGACCACCGGTGGTAGTCCGGTTATCCTGGACTACTGCCTCCTGGTAGTGTCAAGCGAGCTCATAAATGAGTGGAAGGAGAATGACACTTCCCTCTTTCCCAAAGATACATTTTTTTAGTAGTCAAACATTTTTAAATAAATTTAAGCAAATATCTATAAAAATAATAACATTTATGATATCAAATAATATCATTAGATTAACAATCGAATATACAACAACAACAACAACAACAACAAAGCCTTTAAGTCCTAAACACTTAACAATCGAATATATGGTATCAATTCGGAACCATAAATATTATTAATATTTTCTATAAGCTTAGTTAAAATTATAAAAGTTCGACTCAATCCAAGTCCAAAATTACATCATTTGGAGACGGAGGTAGTACTGGTTAAACAATTGAGTTTACAAATTGTTCTTGTCCCGTACAAGACCACCCTTCTTGGGAATCTACAGGTAGACGAGATACAGATAGATATACCGCCTCAAACTTTGCATCGTGGCGGCTTCAGATGGCATATTCGTGTGAAATAATAACTTCAGATGAGATGAAACACTGACACCAAATGGTAAGGTAACAAAGCAAAGCAATGCAGTGCGTGCAGATCATGCACGGCGATGCTGCAGTGCCCCGAGAGCCCTTCCTTCCCGCGACAACGGCGACGGACGGTCACGTCACACCCTTGACCCTCCTGCACGCCAGAGCACACCAGACCAGACTCGGTCACGCACCATGCCGCCCGTAACAACCAACAAACACCCCTGGTCAAGAAGGAACACACTGGCATCTGCAGAAAGCTGCCGTCTTCCAACCAATCGGGACCCCAATGACGCCTTTCGGCCTCCAGATTTGTTCGCAAATTCAGTTCATCAGTTGCTTCACAGTTCACCCTCTCTCCAGATCTCCAGTACGCGCGCGCGCGCACGCGTCATCTAGAACCTCAGCCCACCCGAACGTGCTTCACAAGATCGCCTGCATGCCCAGTGCCAGTGACACCCGGCTTCTCCTCTCCTTCGTCTCAATTCAGTTCAAAGGACGCTGCGCGCGATGGGGGGCTCACTGTCACTGGTCACTGTCAACATTGCATCAACCTTCGGGCATGTGTGCATGGACCCATACTGACCATCTGAGCACCGAGACAAGCGCACATTTACAATGTAGGGTCCCGTACAGCTGCACCCGTCGGAGTTGGACCAAGAGTCCTTGTGCGAGGGTTCCTTCCTTCTCTCTGCACAAGATGGGAATGAAGCATGAGAGTGTTGATCATTCCAATCGCCTCTCATTTATGAGAGTCAACTGCTAGCTTCTCAACTAAGCTGGGTTAGGTGCTTAGCGTACCTAGCAAGCGGATTTCAGTTTCAACAATAATACAGTACTGCCACCTGATAACCAGGTTTCGCTATCACAGTCAAATGTGTGCACTCAATGTCAAACAAAGAAATGAGCGCCAGAAAGCTAGACGGGACTATGATCTGACTAATGGTATCATCTTTAGGCTTCGTTTGGAAGGAACTAGAATTTTATTTTGTCAAAGAACAGAATCAAAAGTGCTTACTTGTTGGTTTCTGGTGGAGTGTTGTTATGAGAGCTTGTGATCTTCCATTTTTTCCCCATTCCTCTTGTTCAGTGCAGCACGGGCCATGCTTCCCAAGTCCGTCTCCTTCCCACCACCCATAGCTGCCTTTCCTTGGATTCAAGCTCCCTGAGCAAATATTTTCTACAAGTCCTGTCAACACAAACGAAACTCCTTCACGAGCCATAATAACTGACATCAGTTGCATAATTTATTGGACTTCTTAACTGCAACGTCTTACGAGAGTTAAAAGGACTGCCTCACAGATTGCCATTGTACGGATAACATCAGAATTAAACTGATGTGGGAGGTACAAAAACTTAAAGCCCCTGATTGTAGAAAGTGATAGCTAATCAATAGACCCGAGTACTAAGTTGCTACACGGGAAACCCATCAATGGTTTAGAATAAAATGGACCAAGATTTATTACAAGCAGCATTACAGGAATTGATTGGGTGAAGGTCAACTTTTAGAGTATTTTGCAGATAGCTGTAGCCCACACAACATGCTTTCTTGGCCATCTTTGCTGACCACAATACCTATATTCATATAAACTCCCTAATTTAGATCTGTTTGTTTAGTCCAAGGAAAGGAGTCTGTCCTTCATATGTTCTACTGATTAGTGATTACAACATTACAGATATGTAGTATACGCATATGGTTGGTTATATCCATTAGTATGTCTAGTCTACTTGCTTAACATAGCTGCCTATGTTGACTAATTTCAATGTGCTAGTTTCAAATATTTTCATACCTATATGAAATCCATCTGGAGTGGGACCACTCATTGCCACCAGCCATGGAGTGATGGAGGGCCTACAGGGATTGTTATGATATAGGTGACATAATGTAATTACTTACAACTCAATGATATAATCTTATGAAGTTATGATTCAATTTACACTTGTGGCTCTAATCTATGCCGTAGAATCTATGTATATGTACAGTTTTAGTGTGTGGAGAAAGATATTCGCACTTAGCAAGCATAACACAACCATACAATTGTAGGCAACAAATACATTTCAGATACCATGTAAGGCGCATCGATGGAACGTATCTAAATCAACAAGCAACACTCATCAACAAGAAAACCATACCACCTATGAATATCACAAATGTCTACTATGCATAATCCTAGAAAGGCAGGCATTTGCAATACAACTATATTTCTCTATATTTCCCTCTTTTTATTGCATGATAACTCATGCAGCTGGTTCTTCAATTTCTGCAAACAGTGATGGAAATTTCCAGGAGAGACCACAGTGTGAGGTAGGCTAGGCACGCCAGTCTCTCAGATAGAGAAACCCCTAACCAACCCTAGCTTTACGCCATGATGATGGTGATACCTACCGCTCATGAGTGCAACTTGCTCCAAACAATAAGTATTTCCTATCAAGAATTGAAATATTCAATGATGAAGGAGAACAATAAATATAGAAAGTGAAACTTGCACCTTTTTCCATCCACCAGCACACCATGGCTTCTTCCTTCCCACATGGTTAACCCATGGATGTAGTGCATGACAAATAACTTCTAATTATCGCGCATGTATTCTTCTTTCCTTCATCGAAATTCGAAAATGAATACATACTACTGCAGGAACTGTTGTGAGACCCATAACCAGGAATTGTCAATCCTAAATCCAGTTTAACAATTCTCTCTTTGCGTGCAAACTATATTTACTGCTATGTGTCACCATTACAATAAATAAATACTACACAACGGATTGTTGTACACTGCAGAAACCACCATTGCGTAAAGCTAAGACTACAGGTTTATCGAACAAACATTTTTTAGAAGTTTTGTGGCATTGAAACATCCTTTCCATGATATCATCTTACCATGACTGATCAATCTGATTAGATGAAATGGGTACAAGCATTGCTTCCCAAGCCAAACAAAAATTAAACTTGAACAGTTGTGCTATCAATAATGTCACATTGACGTTGACATGTGGGCATGTGGGACTCACTTGATTGTATTATTGTTCTGGCTGAAGTAGAAATGTCAATTATAATTTCTTCCAGAAACAGAATGGTATTGATATTAGAGTTCCTGCAATTATTACAGTATGCCCTAGAGAGAAGGTTCTAGCAGCAACACATTATGACTTATGCCCCGTGTCTCACTCCTAGAGTTTTGGGAGATCAACCACTTTACTGCACCTTTTCACATTAGTATAGGTATTAATAAGGCCCTCTCTGGGCGCGCACTCTTTGCCTCCCTTTAAGGAATGGTATAGGATTCCAAGCCTGTGCTTAAATGTTTGATGTAATAGTCAAAGGCAGCAGTCTTAAAGAGAGTCCTAACAAAAGGCTGGCATGATGATTAATTTCACTTGGCAGTATTTATAGGGGTTGGGCCCATGGTTGTTTTCTTAAGCACAAGCACAAACAGAAATTTCCCCCCTTTTGATCATCATCCTTTAAAGCAAAATCAACATGACACTTTTTTTTTTCGAATACGCAGGAGAGCTGCGTATCATTGTATTAATAGAAGAGAAAGGAGTCATACAGAGACCCAAACACACCCACACCCACAAACACAACACCAACACACCTCCACTTACTGACTGGAACTAATCACCTATGCTTGAGAAGAAAACCATGACCAGAGACCCTCTAAACATCAAGAGCTGTGTATCGGGGTGAATGCCAGCAAACATTTGTTTTAGTGCCTTAAATATACTCTAGGCATCATTGTCGTATTCCCTTCTAATCCATTGTTGAATTAAACAACCACATAACTCCAACACTGTTTCAACTATCCAAATCAACACTAAGTTGCCAATTAATCCAAAGGTTTATCAGCATTAGCAAAGACAAATATTGAGTTTATATGAAACTAAACCAATCAGCATTTGGAGTTGCAGAAGTTAGGCTGGAAAGGAAAACCAACGTTCACTGTTCACTTGTTCAGGTGCTAACCTGCTATCTAAAACCTGTATATCTTTGGATCTTGGAATTTCCCTTTCCAGTCAAGCGAGTTCTCTTTCTCTTTATTCCACAAAAAACATAATTAAAATAATTGTTCTGCCAAGAATAGTAAAAGGAGATAAATCTACCTCGTAAGATATGAAGGAAATTTAAAAGAAGATTTACTGCAATGAAAATTACTCCGAACTATATTCATGACTTCCAAGAGTACAGAAACAATCACTGCAATTTTTCAAGAAACGAAAGGCATCTCTTCTGAAGTATCCCTTTCATATTGCTACAAGTGATTCTAGCATTCTACTTTTGGAGCTTATATCCTACCCTTTCACATCACACTCTTTCCACATCCACAAACCCCTAATAAGTATTAACTAATTGTGACAATATGTCTACAATAATGAATTTTTACATGCCAAGGCAGTCTAGGTTAAACTTCAGTAATTTCATCACTCATCTTAGCTCTGGTGTCTTGCACTGATACAGAATAATAAAAGACAAAAGAATAGAAAATGTTCGCTGAAGAGACAATAACAAGGTAGGGGCACTAGAAAACAATCTAATATTAAGTCAGTAAACATGCAGAAGCTTTCCAACTGGGCCAGATGCCCCAAAATTCTTATCAAATTTCATCCACGAAAAGATCATCTTCATTTTGAATATAGAATGAGCAACAGTCAACTTAACCAGGATCCAGGCAAAACCTGATCATTTGCAACGTAATGATTTGTTCAAACACTTCTGCATTGTACAAAAATTCGACCCTAGAAAACTCTAGATTGGGGCCTATAGAGAAGCGGTGACAACCAAACAAAATACAGCATAATAACGCATGCATTTATGTAGCATTGGTGGCTCCATGCTGGCCTGGGAAGTGGATTTATACCTTGTCTTGAATAGTGGACCAGCTACCTCCAGAATGGGGTCAGAGAGCACCTCCAATGGTCCCTAGAGACTTATTTCTGCTGCATTCACTGCTCTTTTCTTACAGCCTGCACCAGTGTAGTACTGAAAGTTAACACAGGACAGATAGTATACCGAATGCATACATCAAATCATTTGACTTACAATCAGCAAGGCAGTAACCACGTAAAGAAAGAATTTTAGATGGAAATCACAGGAACATGTCAGCAATGAATATACAATGTTCTGTAGGATTTATCTTGTTCTTTGGCTCTCTTTCCTTTTGCATAATGTATCTCTACATTTCAGCAGATAATATTCCTTAATATTTAGAAAGAAGCAAATGATTAGAATAAGGAATCACATTGTCTCGAGCTGCTGTACATATTATACAAGGATAATATGTCCAGAATGATAATAAAAGACAATGTTCAGCTTAAGTAGGAACAACTAGAAGTTAGCAGGTAAAACCATATATTAAGCCCATAGCATGAACACAGATTTGCATAGATATACAAAGATTATTTGTATTGATGTATTGTCCATGGTTGACACTTGTTTGCAACATCAATTTCTCATTCCAACTTCCTAGGAATAACTCACTCTGCTTTCTATATCAGCCTTTGCTTTCTCATTCCAACTTCCTAGGAATAACTCACCCTGCTTCTATATCAGCCTTTGCTTCCATCCAGAGTCACTATATTTCAATTATTGGTGAAAAGTTTAGCTTAATAACAACAGATACATATATGTAAGAATGAGTACTCTATAAGAATCTTTTTTCCCATTATATTTGAATATTATATTCAAGAAAGAGAAAACGTACTTTTGGCAGAAAAAAGTAAATGAATGCAATGTACTGAACAGCATGCTATAGATCGACACCTGAAACAGTTTATTAAATAGTACAAAACACAGAAATTTAACGCCAATACATGGTACGTAGGGGAGGAGAGGGGGGGGTCCGAACTGTTTAATAAACTTGACAAAGCAAGCTACTTCCTCCAGAACATCTGTGGCCTCTATTCATGAATACAATAAATTAGAATCTTTTTCCAGCAGACATGAATGAGTGGAAGCACGGAATAACCAAGTAGACATTGCACCAATGAAACAATGCTATTGTGGCTTCATTTTGTACAGGTGCACAAAATATGCATGACAATCTGCGAGTCAGTCACTGAAAAAATAGTTTGCATGACTAAATTGATATGGAGACGATATCTACCTATTCTTTGTTCCGCTCTGACATGCACTTTGCAAAGTAGATGTAGTTCTCAACAAAATTCCAGTTGGCTGATTTTGATACCTTTTTAAATATCTGATCAATAACCTTTAGATAAACCTGCAAGGTACTGCCTATGCTGACTTATACTCACTTAAAAAATACCTATTTTCCCAGTTCTTCTTTGGAACAATCAGCAATAGAGTTTCATTTGTGCTTTGCAACTGATTAGTGATTAGCGTAAATTCAATAACGATAAATTTTTAATATCTGCCAAATTTCTAGAGAAGTAACAGTACTTTCTGATTGTGCAGAGGATTCCCATGATAACTGCAAAGGATAAGTAAACTGAGGCAGTCTTGGATAGCTATTAAATATAGATCAAACGTTATTTATATCCACCAGTTCTACTGAATATACTGCGATGACAACAATAGCTGCACAAAGATTTATACGTTGTAAAAATTAAAAAGATATTCAGACTAAACATGACTCTTGGGGCAGAAATCAACCTTAACCTATGCACAAGAATGTGAGAAAACAGATGTTCCTAAACCAGAAATCAGTTACCTGATTCTGTCCAGTGGGCTCCAAATTTTGTCGACATGGCCTAAACCAATTTGATAGTAGTTATTGAATGTAGTGAAATAAACATTGTATATGAGTTAAACACAACAGCACATGCTAGAAATGCAAAATCAGCCACTTCTGCTGAATATATTCCGAT